ATTACTATTACTTATTATATATATATATATATAGTATATAGTATACTATATATATATATATATATATATATATATATATATATATACAAGACAGCTGAGGTTAACACGCTCGCTGACAGCTACAGTAAACGCCCAATGGCTCAGTATCAAACTCGGATTGGAATGTTTCAACTGTTTAGCATACGCATTTATGAGATTCTTTATTCCATGACAATTTTATTTTGGGAGTATGTTCTTGAACTAAGGTTTTTGGATTAGCTAACAAAAATTTCTGAGCTTCCATTGCTAGTCTTGGTTTTAATCACGAACAATGCCGCCTCTTCCTTTCTCTTTGAGCTACAATAATTTTTAAGCATCCATGTGCTCATCACTGTCAATAGGGAAATAAATAAACCCCTAGATATCTTCTGAGGTGATTCTAGATAGATTACCTTATTAATATTTCATGGCGTTGTTGCACTAGTAATTACAATGGCCTGTGCTTTTCTGGGGTTCAGTATAATTCATGGCTAGTTTCGATAGATGTCTTTTTTTTTTTTCCTCTGCTTCTTCTTTCTTTCCATGCTTATGGGCTGGGCTTTTTAATCTATAATTGTTTAACACTTCAAAATACTTAATTTGCACACAAAACATTATTAAATCCAAAATCAGGAAACTAAGAGCATATTTGGCAAGTAATCCTATCCCAAAATATGTGTGGTTCTCCAAGTTGCCTTAGTGTTGCCCTAAACACTAAAAACTAATGATGCAAAATAAAGAAAATCTAGGCTAGATACGAAAGAAGCTTATGTGTGCTTTTGGCTATTTCAGAAGCAAACAAGCTCGGACTCCATAGATGTTTGGAATTGATTGATTTTTGTTGTCAAATAGAGTGCTGGCGTGATTATTTGAATTAACTAGGTTGTTTGGGTGTGCTTATGGTGAATTGTACTATAAAGTTGCTGGTTCATTGTAGTCTCTTTGCTAGAGGTCCTTGAGTGTATAATATTATTTTACCTTAATGATTATTTGTAAGTTATCTTAGGTTTTTAGGAATGGGGTCTTGGCCTGAGTGGTTGGGGTGGCAGAGCCACAATGTGATGTCTGGGGTTCCATTCTTACCCCATTAACATGTCAAAAAGATAATAGATCCTAGTTTATTAATAATTTGTTGCGAGGGAAATTCTTTTATTCATTTCAAAGTTTACATGTAATGAGAGCTAGAAGTGATTTTTTTTATAAATAAACACCCTGATTTTGCCTGAATCTTTTTATCTGAAATGTACTATGACTTCATTTAGTTTATGAAAGCAGTATCCTATCTGCTCCTCAACCATCCAATGTCAAACAATAAATGGTAGAGGCAGGTTTCCCTGACTCAAAGTCCAATGTTTTTGATCTATCATCAGCAAAGGTACAACACGCCTCTCAACTGTCTGTTGTTGACATCAGACTATTGAGAAGCTGGTGGCAATTGGCATACTGTTTGAAAATGAAATGCTACCATTGTGTACATTTCCATCTATTAATTAATACGGAATGCTGTTTCCCCACGATTGTTTCATGGCTTTAATGAGATGTATACCAATATATGATGCAATGTAGGGGCCCTAACAGAGGAAAACCTCCTTTTTCTGGAGGCATGGAGAACGATAGATCGCGCTTATGTTGATAAACAATTCAATGGGCAAAGCTGGTTCCGCTATCGAGAAAATGCGCTTCGGAAAGAACCAATGAACACACGAGAAGAAACATGTATGAATTTCCTATAATTTTGACAGGATTGATTTTATTAACTCATAGATATATATCCCTTGGTGCACAAGATGTTCTTATCTTTATTTCTAAGAGATGATCTTTTAAATAAAAGTTGATTATGTCGTATCGTTTTTATTGATTTATTCCATCTGACAGTGAGCACTGGCACTGCATTCGAGAGCTTTGAATTTTGGTTGGAGAAGTTGCTTTTCTAATTGAACTTTTAACAGACTTTCATCATTGCTCCTGCATAATTGATGGAGTTGTTTGTAGTGGTGATATTTTTCATTTTCTTAGTAACAATTTGTCCATCCGTGTATTTTGAAGCTTTGATCTATGGAGCTAAGAAAATTACAATTGGGCCAAATTATTAAGCACAGTGAAGCCTAGAAGATATGAAATTGCTTCAGAATCTATCTTTAAGTACTAATATTCAAATCCGTGGTTTATTAATTTCCTAGGGTACATGAACCACTGCAACAATAATTAAAGGCTATATGCTTTCCTAGGGTACATGAGCCACTGCAACAATAATTTTAAAGGCTATAAGGCCTTCCACAGACCAAGTTGGAGATCCTCCAGTGACACAATCATGCTTCTGTTTACAATGACATGGGTGTTTGGCATGTTTGGATGTCTGTCTTGGATGTGAGACAGACATGTCCACATGCATGCCAAAGAACACCACTACACATTGATCAAGTGTGTTTGCAGCATGTCTTGAAAAATTTCATGTCAGACACAACTCTTGGTGTCTCAAGCATTGATGCATGTGTCCAAATCCTGGACATACGTGTCTATATTTCTGGATGCACGTGTCTGAAATTCAGACACTTGTCCAACATTTTGACATGGGTATCTATCATGTAGGCACACTTGTTCAATCTCTCTGCAGGTATCTTCAATAGCGAATAGGCATGTCTATGATTTGTATGTACGTCTTATCTTTTAAGTTACTTTTATTACAAAAATGTTAAAAACATCAGTTTTATATATAAATCAATATCATAAATGTATATGTTTGTATGTATGTATGTATCTACATAGAAGTAGGGAAAAGGCTCTAATGATGATGATGATGTAGGTATATGTATTTATATGTAACATTGTGTAAACTTGTGTGAACGTGTCCTATCTGACATACCCCTTTATTAGCAGGCATGTTGGGCTTGATGTGGACACGCATGTCAGTTTCTTTGTAAGACAGCTTTATAGGCCATGTCTCTGTTTCAAATTGTGGCTCATAACATAAAACCACCTAGATAATGACCAGTCCATATTTGTGCTTATATATCTTTTCATTTTACAATGGGCATGCTCGAACTGGATTTTGTTATATCCTAAATGATTATCAGATGCCTTCCAGATATGGCAATAAAGAAGATGCTCGCAACATTAGATGATCCGTTTACTCGTTTCCTAGAACCTGATCAGTTCAAAAGCTTGCGGGTATAATTCTTGTACTGATTACTATTATTAATTATTGTTTTAGAATCTTCAAAATATTATACTGCTGTTGCTGTCTCATCTCATGCATTGCTCTTTAAATTTTAGTTATTTGTTTTGAAGGCAGTCCGGCACTCAAGGTGCTCTTACAGGCATTGGTTTGTCAATTGGTTATTCAACTGGTGTTGATGGAGCTTCTACAAACCTTGCTGTGATTTCATCTACTCCAGGGAGCCCTGCAGAAAGGGCTGGTATTACGCCTGGTGATGTGATCATTGCTATTGATGAAACAAATGCTGAAAACATGGGATTATATGATGCTGCAGAGCGCCTACAGTGAGATCTCTATTTACCTGAAAACTAAAGTTTTTTTGCATTTCCCAGCTCTATTTTACTTCTTGTACATAATTATCCAATTCATTAAGATCGTGCCATTCAATCATTTTCTTTGAGTTCAGAGCAATATCTTTAAGTTCGATTAGTTTAATGACATAAATTTTGACATGCCTTGCTTTATAAATGATGGCGGAATGCTTGGATTCCATTTGATCAATGTCATTTTGGCCAATGTACATTTATTCTAGACTTTATAATTATTGAATTTAAAGCCAATTGCTCTAGGGGCTCCGCATGTGATTCATGGCACTATATTTCTGGCAGATTTCTTCTATATTTTGAGCAGGGCCTCTCTGGATGTTTTTAAGTGGATCAAAGTTGAACTTGACTATAGTGATTATATGATATTTCTGATATAATTCTTGGCACTGCAGCTTCTTATGAATGATATGTTTCATTCATAAATAGTTTGTAGGACCACTAATTTATAAGCCTATAATGGGCTTTAATTTCTAGAAAGAAGCCGGCCATAGGAAAGATGTCACGAACCACTTAGCCCGTCAAAGAAGCTGAGAGGTTACTTAAAAAATGGCATAGTTAAGCCCGCTTTCAACTTAGGAACTGACTTAGCTGTCTACAAAGGGGTAAAGCATTCTATGTTGGACCCTATGCTATACATCAAAGCATTCGCTTCACTATGTAGTCGATTCTCAGTTTCTTACAAAATAGCATAGTTAAGGCGGCTTTCAACTTAGAACTGACTTAGCTGTCTACAAAGCGGTAAAGCATTATATGTTGGACCCTGTGCTACACATCAAAGCATTCGCTTCACTATGTAGTTGAGTCGTATCAAAGTACTAAAATATTTAAAATCAACGGCATGGGAATCAAGACAATGACTCTACAGAGTGGTTTAAAATTTTTCAAGAGATTGAAAAACTGTGGAGTGCTATATCAATGGTCAAGGAGTAAGTGGAATCTTCTACAAAGGAGAAGTCTAATACAAAGGAAAAGTTTATTAGGAGGAAGTGGATTCTCAAGGGAAAGTGCTTTGATGTTGCTTCACATGCATTTAGAGGTGTTTTTCCTGTTGGAAAGCCCTCTATGGGCCAATTTGGACAGACCACTAATTTATAAATATGCCCTGTTAACTAAATAGATTTAAGCATTGTTTGGTGATATCCATCTATTTAAGAGTAACCCTGTTTCTCTGCCCATTTACTTGAAGAATAGGAACATCTGTGCCTTGCCTACTTGAAATAAAACCTGTTTTCCCCTCATTCATGATTAACTCCATTTCTTTGATGTAGTTACGGAGGATCCAAACTGGTCATGCGGAGTGATTTGACATCCATGTGTACCCAATTTGTTCCAATTGTGCACCTCATATATTTTACAATTTATTATCTGTTTAGTAATTTTTTACTTTCTCACTCTCTTATTTTATATTTGTTTCAGTAATAGTCATATTCATCATGAAATTGACAGATTGTAGCAATTTAACATAATGAGTTGGGTTATGGTAGGTTGATGATGCATCTAGAGCTATCTAGGATACCTATGGAGTCAACTAGAACTCCCTAGGATCTTTTGATGTCATTACTGTATTCGTCTTAGAACATTGGCCATACCATGGTCATCATTAAATGAATAGATTCTGAAGGAGACTTAAAGCCAAATAAGTGAATTCATTGCATATGTAGAATGATCGTCAGCCTCATTTGGACGATGTGGCTGATCACAAGAGAATCGTCGCATGTGAATATTGATCATTATCCACACTCTGACAGTCAGGCTGATCATTAGAACGGTTCTATGAATCTTGTCACTTGGAGTTACTTTGGTTCATGCTTCAGCAACATATTGTGAATAATAAAGAATATGGCGCTTTTAGTTCACTGGAAAGTCTTTCATATTCCGTAGTCTTTAATACAATACCATTGTTGGTTGCATGCCATTTATATCTCCGCAACTATTGTATGCCAGGGGTCCAGAGGGAAGTTCAGTGAAATTGGAAATTCGTACTGGAGATTTCCAACTAAAGAGCTTAACTTTAAAGTGAGTCTGGTACCATATTTTTATTGCTGACAGCTGATGTCGTTCCATACTTTCACATGCCAGACTGTCATACTTATGAAATTATGCTGCTGCTTTTTGGCAGTTCATACTTATCAGGACTCATAACTCAGTTAGTGAATGCAGGCGAGAAAAGGTTACATTGAATCCGGTCAGATCGAAGTTATGTGAGATTTCTAGTCCAGGGAAAGATCGTTCCAGGATTGGATATATCAAGCTTTCTTCATTTAACCAAAATGCTTCAGGTGAGTGCATGATATGGACTTTTGGAAGCAACATCTTCCCTGTTTGAATGAAATAAATATTTTCTTCATAGAATGGGCACCGAGTATGAGGATTTTGATGTCTTTGCCAATTATAAACCAGTTTTATCTACTCGTAAGATCTGATCCCAGGTCTTATGGTACGTCAATGATAAACCAGCTTTATCTTTGTGTCTGTGTGGTGTTATTCTTTATGTTACTCAATAATGATATTATTGTTTTGTATTTTGTTAGTCATAATATAACTAAATGAAACTATTGTATATTGCCTGACGTATGATGCTGTTCAAACCTGTTTGGAGGATGTCTTGTAGTGCATAATTAATTTAAGCTATAATGTATAGTTGTTGATCAAAATTTTGCCTTAAACTATAAAGTTCTTGATTATAAATTTGTTTCATCAATTACTGGTGAATATCTAAGGAGAGATATACTCCCGTATTATTTAGTCAATGACCCATCCATCTGTTTATTATGCTAGACAGCGTTTTCATTATAGTTCATAACCTCAAGTAACCTTGATTGCTAATCAATGAACATAGTACATGTCACCAAAGGCTTGTATGCATGCCTATAACACTTGCATGCTTCAGTTATATCAAGTGGATTTGCTCTCCTCGAGTAACAAGCTTTGATGAGCTCTCATACATTATGTCTCTTTGATTGTTTGATTCTGAGAAGTTACTGTGTTACAGGAGCTGTAAAGGAAGCAATCGAAACCTTGAGAGGTGATAATGTGACTTCTTTCGTGCTAGATCTACGAAACAATAGGTGAGAATCAGGTAATCTTGATAGATATGTGTGCATTGCTTCAGTAGAGGGTTATGACGGTTATGACGCACTTTGGGTACACCATGCAGTGGGGGCCTTTTTCCTGAAGGAATTGAGATTGCAAAGATCTGGTATGTTCCTTTTTTATTCAAGGCTATATAATTTATGTTGATATTATTCGTAGGTTCGTATCTTATTGTTATGTATGTAGCAAGTCCCGATGCTTTATTTGCTATATCAAGTTCATGTGGCTATACTTTTATTGGCCATCCTATCATAGGTCTTTTTTGGGTTGGTTTGAGAGGACAGTTGTGGATAGTGGTTATTGGGTCAGGTGGAGTGCCCTTATTGTCACTTAGTTTGACCTTTTGGTACCAGTCTAGTTCTAGATATTCTATTTTTGGTATTAAAAATGTTTATGTGAATTGTAGAATTTGTTTATAATTTTCAAATTTATTTCTGTTGTAAAATCTTTGAAAATGGTCATCATCATCATCAAAGCCTTTTCCCAATTATTTGGGGTGGCTAAACGAATCTTGGTTCGCTATTCTTCTTTATCAAGGGCCATACCCTCAATGAGGCCATAAGTCCCCATATCTTTGCTCACTACTTCCAAACATGTCCTTTAGAGCCTATCCCTTGTCTTTTTTGAACCTTCCACTTGAACCAACTTGTACCTCCTAGTAGATGTTGTACCGAGTCTGTGTTGCACATGGCCAGCCCACCAAAGTTTGCTTTATCACATCTTTTCGCCTATTGCAGCCACACTTAAGTTCTCCCCAATGTATTCATGTCGAATTCTATCCTTTCTTGTCTTGCCACTTATTCATCTCAACATCCTCATCTCAGCTACACTCATCTTATGAATATGTTGTTTCCATCCTTTCTTGTCTTGCCACTTATCCATCTCAACATCCTCATCCCAGTTACATATAAGTATGTTGTTTTTTGACTGCCTAATATTTCACACCATAAAGCAAAGCTGGTCTCACAGCTGTCATATAGAACTTCCAATTCAGCTTTCATTGGCATGCGGTAATCATATAAAACTCCAGTTGCACATCTTCACTTTGCCCACCAACTCTAATTCTATGTGAGACATCTTCCTCAATCTCTCCATTTCCCTAGATTATCGACCCAAGATATGCAAGTTCGCTCTTTTTGGTATTTCTTAGTCATCAATCTTAACTACTTCATCGTCTCGACTCCTATTATTACTAAACTTGCATTCCTTATACTCTGTCTTAGGCCAATTAATTTTAAAACCTTTAGATTCTAGAGCATCTCTCCAAACTTCTAACTTAGTGTTGACACCAGTTTGGGTCTCATCAATCAAACTATGTCGTCCACGAACAACATACATCACAATACCTCATCTTGTAGGTGCCTAGTTAAATTGAAAAGGGTATTTTCAAAATCTTCAGAATAAGGAAGGACACATGTGGGCCCTTGGACCCAGCCCCACGTGTGCCACCCTCACATGGGTGGGGCATGTAGCCTATGGGCCCCACATGAGGTCCATAGGGGTGACATGCCCCACTTTTTTTTGGAAGTGTTAGTTTTATTTAAAGTTAGTTATAAGTCAAATAACCGTTTAAAAAAAACGTTGTCCTAGCTTTTTGGGAGTTTTGACCGAATAAAAGTTATCTTTGACTTCTTACAATTTTTGATAATTATATTAGGAAGATCTAGACAAATACTAAAGTGGCTATAGTTCTATTTTAACTAGAAAGTTGGACTTGGGTCACCCAAAATCATGATGACTGATTTGTGCGATGGATGGCTCAGATTTAATGTCTTTCACCCTACAGATTTCCTAAGTTCGTATCAGTCTAGCTGTATCATTGGATAGACATACTTAAAGAAGGAATTCTAATCCAAATCGGAGAAGATATTCTTTTTATTTAAACACAATTGAACCCCTCTCTCCCCATATATCTCTCTCTCCTCCACACCCTAGAAAATTATTCTCTTGCTCTTACTTTATCATGTGACCCTCTCTCCTTTCTTTACTAGCTGTGACGTCACCCAAAATAGTAGAAAGGGGGGTGGCACGTTGAAACCCTTGTTAGGGTTTTTTCTATATTTTGAAGAAAAATAGAGGTATGCCCAGCCTAGAGAGAAATAAAGTACTCAAAGCCTAGCCCTAATTAGACCCTAAAGGGTTCCTACAAACCCTGGATAGGTTTCTATGCTCTCAAAAGTATTGCCTGTGAAAGCTTCCTACCTCTAAATTCTTGCAAGATCAAAAGGACAGAAGTGCGCCATCTGTCAAGAAATCAGATGATCAGATGTGGGGTGTATCAAGTCCTATGGGGGTAACTCTAGATCAATTAAGTCTTCCCTGCTGTTTTTATTTATTTTTCAGTTGTATTTGCATACTTTATGTGATTTCCAGGAACATATATTGTACTTAAATTCATATTGGAAAGCTGGATATTGTTCTTGGGTTGTGTTTAATTTCTTTGGCAGTAAAAGGAAAGGTCCTAGGCTGTATTTAGGGTTTTATTTTTGATTTACAGCAGCTTATTGTGGTCTATATAAGTGGGATTTAGGTATATTATTATTATTTTTTATTTATTTTTATTTATTTTTTTTAAATTTATTACCTTGGGTTTCACATAGCCTCACCTTTCACCTCACCCTTTATTATTTAAATGAAATTTATTTAATAAGTAATTATCTTTTATAGCCTGTTTTTGTGCCCATCTTCGTAATTTATTTTGTGGTCTTATTGGAATTTTTAATTTTTTAATAGAATTTCAGTTTTTTCTTAAAATTTTATTTGTTAATTAAATAATTGTATGAAATGTGATCCTTGCATGTGATGATGCCTCGTTCCAGCTCCTGCTTCCAACAATTATGCAATTTCTAGTTAAGAGAGCCACAATTAGGATAAAACTCATATTCAGGGTCCATTAGCCCATAGGACCTACATTTCTTATGATAAATTGGGGTGAAGCATGTTAGGTCTTTTTAAGAAGTAAGTTGGGTGGGGTATCCTTGTGAATTCCACGTGTATTAACAATTTGATCGATGAGGGTAGTTATTGAATAATAAGTAGATAATTGCATGCGTCTCATCCATACGCTTCTTTGAGATACTTGTTGAGGTGATGTTATGGGAACTACAGTGTACTTTGCCCCCTATGAGAAGAGGGTAATCGGTGTTGTGCATCTTATGAGGGATAAACAGATTTGATGTGAAGCAAAGATGTGTTATGGGGAGAAAAATCTTGGGAAAGAAGATCAAGCAATTAAGTAGGTACTTACCCAGCAAAAGGGGTAGTCAATGTTGTAGGTCTTATGAAGGACAAATGGACAATCCAACAGATATGGCTTTTCGTTAAGAAGATGGCCAATTAAGTGAATTACTTATCCAGAAAGATAAAGCATTTAAGTGGAGTACAGTATGTCTTTGTTTTCTATGATCCATATTGCACGGGGTCAATGAATAGCCCTTGCAGTAAAATGCACCTAAGGGATTGGATCCTAGACAGTAATGTTTATTTACTATTAATGAAGAAAAAACTTTAGAAGGGTGGCAAGGGTATTAGGAGTAGAGAGGTCTGGTGAGGATATCTTTTGACTATCTTGATTGCAGATGGAAATGCTAGTACCCATTTTTTCCTTTGGAATTTGGAGAATTGAAAGGGTATCGGCATGGTGATGTGGGTTTTATAGTTTTAATTAAGTTGAAAATTCTTTGGACGCTTTTATTTTGTTGATTACATGGATATATGGATCAAGCAGACCAAAACTATTTTCTTTTCCTTGTCTTTTTTATTTCACCTAGCTGGGAAGAAATCATTGGGGTTTTGTTTGCCTTGAAGAAAAATCTGTGGAATGCTTTTATTTTGTTGATGACATTGATGTATAGACCAAGCAGACCAAAACTATTTCTTTTCCTTGTCTCTTGTATTTCAACTAGAGGTTTCTTCAAGCTGCCTCACTGGGAAGAAATCATGGGGTTTTAGTTTGCCTTGAAATTCTCTAACCTTGGGCACTTTTTTCTGGATTTAGTTGCACTCATCTTTTGAATAAACAGATTGTTCCCGTTGTTGTGTAAAATTTGGGGGTCCTGATTCGTGGCTTTCATTTCTTTTCTTCCTAACTGCAAACTGCCAGTCATCAGCTATATGTTTACTCATGATTACAAACTTCATGAACCTATGTGCATGAATCTTTGAGTTGAATATAACAGTTGAATGCCAGTGATTTAAAAGGCGAACTGCCCGTGCCTGAGCACATCACCTAGGCCTAGGCGGCAAAAAAAGATAGAAATCCCTGGGTGCCCTCCTAGGTGGTCCAGAAGGGCATTGGCGCATCACCCAGGCCGAGGCGCAAGAAAAGGCAGAAATCCACCCGAGAACCCGCCTAGGGCCTGCGCCCCGCCTAGGGGTGGAAATACCACTCATTGAGGTCATTTTTTGGTCATTTTTTTAATATTAGAGGGGTACAATTGTAGGTTTTAGGTTTATTTGAAACCTAAAACCCATTAGAGCCTATTTTAGGAATAAAAAACCCTCAAAAAAGTAGTTTTTGGTGATTTCCATATGATCGAAGGGTTTCTCAAAGTTACGAGAAATTGATGTGAGCATCACCCATTGATATTATATTTAATTTTTGATGTTTTATAAATCTATTAGAGGGTTTTTTAGAAGATTTTGAGCCCTTAGAAATTGGGCCGCCCAGGTTTTGGGCGCCCGCCTAGGCGCTGGGCGGCCTGGACCCCCCCGGTCTCCGAAGCGCCGCCTAGCGCTTTTTTGAAACACTGTTGAATGTATTGATTGCCTAGGATAATTCTATATGTTAGTGAACATTAAAATGTTTCTTTGAGAAACATGGATGCCTTTCCATGAGCTGCTGAAGTTATCTTTGGCATGCATTCGATATCTGGCATTTGTTATTTTGTCAAACACTTATGGAAACATTGTTTCCCCATGCCTTTTGGCAACTATGTATGTCTATATCAAATAGCACCATGATTGAGCTGTTGAACTCGTTATACGTAATCAAACCTTTTGGCTATTATTTGAAGGCTCTAGCCATGGCAGACGTAGTTCTTGTTATCTCATAGAAATGTGTTAGATGTTGCAGTTGCCCCAACTTTTACCATAAGTTAAGAGGTTTAGTTTCCAAAAGACCTACCTTTATGCACCTCACTTTTTCCAAGAAAGATGGCTCTTTTGTTTTCTTTTCTGGTGCGTCCTTTAGGCCCAACTGAAAGCATATGAAGTTATCAATCAATAAGCAATATATTTAACATAGCCGTGCTCTTCTATCTTATGGATTCGCTTACTATTCTATCTTATGGATTTTCTTACTATTCTATCTTATGATTTTGTTTCATTTAGTGCGTATACCATATGCACTGTGTGTAGTGGATGCTTTTCAACCTCCATAAAGTGTGTTTCATCTTTCCTTCAGAATCATATCCACTTTTGACACACTTTTTGCAGTTGTTGAGTCTGCTTCTTGAGTTGTGGTTCTTAAAGGTTTCCCTGCTGATATATCATGCTTCTTCAAATAACAATCTGATTTTGTGGGGTTCTAATTTCTTAGCTCTTTTATTATCTTTAAGGCTACAGAAAGGTGTGATTGTATACATATGTGATAGTCAAGGTGTTCGTGATATATACGAGGCAGATGGAAGCAAAGCAGTTGCTGCATCAGAACCTCTAGCTGTGCTGGTACTGAATTCTTGACTTTTTAATAGAACCTGTATTTTTTAAATTATGTTCCCTCTTGTAAGTGTGAAAGAAGAAGCATGACATATTCATCTAATGTAAAACTAAAAAGTTATGTGGAAAATACTATTTATCTTTTTGGATTTTTTTATTCGACTTCTCCAGTTGTTGCTTTTCATGGAATGGAATGGTATGCTTTTTTCCTCAAGGGGCCTTCAAATTAGTTATATACGTTTCAGTTGACAATATTCCTAAGAGTGTTTCTTTTTAGGTCTGTATGATTGTGGTAAAGCAACAATATTTCAAATATTGGTGACAATTCAAGTATGCACTGAATTTTTTATCGGAATTAAATTTGTGATTTTCTTGGAGATGCTGTTACATGTCCCTAATTTGCTTGTGCATAAGTGGATCATGGTATGTTCTTTCTGAATCTTATGTGATAAGAGTGTAGTTTATCTGTTTCCTAGTTATCATTTATTGCTATCAGTTATCATATATGTCGGTCATGTTCAATGGCTGAAATGCTATGGATGGGTGACGTCAGTTGTTCAGAATATTGATCAAAGTCACATTCTCAGGTACCCCTTATTTTCTCTTTGATTCTTCCCCTTCTTGATCATTTCTTCCGTGCTCACTACCTTACACTATCAAATTCCATAAGTTCCATAAAATGGCATTTGAATCACCACTTGTGGGTGATCCATTCTATCTAGAGATGTATCTCTTGAATACATGGAAGTGAAAAACGCATTCCAAGTTCTACATCGGCACTTTCTTTAGTGTTTTCTCTTTCTAATTGATAGAGGGCCAGTATGTGTGCGTTAGAGGATAATTTAAATTGTGTTTGATGGTATAGTTCGCAATCCTGATCTGCATGACCCTAACTTGCCTTGTCAATGGGCCATATTTCAAACCAGATCAGATTACTGTTTGACCTGGTGTTCATTGACTCATTAGATGGACTTGGCCACCCTGTGTAGAACAAACTGTGACGTCTTCACCGCAGCCAACTGTTGCGGGTTTGAAGGACTCAATTGTGGTTTTTTACTTTTTCCCAAAACCAAGTTAGTTTGTTAGTTTATTCTTAAGAGTCTAATATAAATAATGAACAAAGTAGAATATATAATGAATATTTTTTGTGAACAAACTTTGCAGGTTTTTATTTATTTATGTTCTTGTACTTTCTATTGGAGATAATGGGTCAATTGAGTTAAGAATTGAGATTGTGAAATTTCATTTCTGTTGGATGTTGTGATAATTCGTCTTTGTGAACGAGTTTTTGCACAAAGGATCAAATTCTAAAGAATGATTTGGCTGAGATTTAGTTCTCTCAGTCTCTAAAAAACCAGGTTTCAGATGGCTGGGGCATGAGAAGTTACGTGGGCTCCCATTAACTCTTCGCAGAACTTTCCCCCTCTCCCAGGTTGTAGTCAACCACATTCCTACCATCCCTTCCTAGGTCATACATCCACACATAAACATGGGAGGCAGATCTACCCACCCCCAATACCATGCAAACCGGACCAGACAAACTCCAACCACCCAACCTTTGTCAGCCATTCCCTCCTGGACACCCTCCAGACCTTCTTCCCTTCACCCAGGGTACTTGCTCAGACACTATGTAAACTGCTTTACATCTTCCTTCCTTTAGTCACAACCCTGAGCTTGTCATTCTAAATGGCAATTTCGTCTCAGAGAGGCTCACAACTCTTCAGCGCTCACTCATTGGTACCTGTCATCCAATGTGAGATGACATCAGAGGCATTAAAAGGTGGGATAAGAAGCTCTGGAACGAACCTTCCCCCCCCCCGGCAAAAAAGGGGGGACCTGTTCATTTTGATCTGAAGCTTTCACTATTGCAGCAATGACCTCCAGGAACCAGCTCTTTAAACGAGCCAGGTTAACTCTATCCCCCTGGATTGCCAGTGTTGGTGCACTCATAAAAGCAAAAGACCTGGATCACAGCCTCATATACCGCTGCATGCCTGGCAAGCTAATAGGTGACAGATGCGGGACCCTTCATTCCTACCTTGTGAAGGTCCTTCGACTACCTCCCACTGGGGTCGATACAAATCCTGGTGGAACCAGTGGACCTGAGCACAACCCAAGACAAACTGTGGGCCACCATTGGAGACTTCACCTATTGCATTCGAATTGTTCAAGAGAAAGCTTGAGATGGAAGCACCAAGCAGAAAGATGCTCAAAAACTGGGGATCAGGCTGACTCATATGTCATGACTGCAGTTATCCGCAGGTGCAATAAGAAAAGCTATATTGACTGTAGATCAACAGATCTCAAGGGCGACTGCAGCCACAATCTCCACCACTAAATCTCCACTATAAAAACATATCACACATATCAAGGTTGTCATCAACCAAATACTCGCTGAAACAAGGAGGGCGATCCCAAAACAATGATATCATGCTGACATCATCTGCTTGTGGGGCACATGGACCCCTCTTAGACCCATGTGAGGCCCGTTGACCCCTTGGGCCTCACATGTGTCATGGCCCATCATTGTGTCCTCAAAAGTTATTATTTGAAACAATAAGGCCATTTTAGTCCATAAGAAAATTATATAGAATTTCTAAATTTCCTCAAAAATCAATTTTAAGTTTATCTTACCAAATTGAAAAGGTTAGGCTGTACAAAAAAATATGAAAGAGAAACTAGGTACCTACAGGCTTGGAATCACACAACACCAGGGCTTTATGCTAAGCTTATCTTGGAACTCTCGACCAGGTCTTCAAATTGACCCAACGGAACCCATAACCCACAGTCTTAAGCACGAGTTCATGCTTGGTTCATCAAAGATGACTAGGCCCATAGATGATGGAGTTGCAGAATCCAAAGCGGATTTCAGGTGTACACCCAGGAGAAGTACAAGCACCACACATGGATGCGGTGGTCCTCTCTTAAGCTCAGGTGCATGGCCTTCCCGATAACTTCCTTGGGAAGGAGGCTTCGCCAAAATGCGACTCTCGTATGCATGTGTCCTAGGAAGATAGTTGTTGAGGCATTTGGCCTCATCCTCATAGGCTAGCCTCCCATCATGGAGTTTCCACTCTATCCTCCAGCCAAACCACAGGATATCTCTGATCTCGACCAAGGGATGACCCATTGTTTTAAAAAGCAGACTGCCCAATGCCTAGGCAGTCCAGAAGGCCTTGGCGATGTGCCCAGGCCTAGGCGGCCAAATTAGGCGGGCTATCCCTGGGCGTCAGGGAACCCGCCTAGGTGGGAGCCTTAGTGTGGAAATGCCCCTCGTTTTGAGGGCATTTTTTGGTTTTTTTTAATATAAAAGAGGCAAAATCGTGGGTTTTAAGTTCATTTGAAATGTAAATCCCATTATAGCCTATTTTAGAGAGAAAAAAAAACCCAGAAAACCCAAAATATTTTATATTTATATGGTTAGACTATAGGGACATTTTTCTTTCCCAAATATTTTATATGTATATTGTTAGACTATAGAGACATTTTTCTTTCTACTAGGCTAGGCCGCTCAGGTGCACTGGGTGGCTTGGACCCCCTTGGCCGCCTAGGTGCCGTCTAACGTTTTCTGAAACATTGGGATGACCCTAGATCCTCATTGGTACATGCTGGGCCATAAGCTCGATCCCTATGGGCATAGGTTTTCCATTGACTCAGAGTTCTTCACTCCCGGGCCTAGACCGCCCAGGCCCTGTTAGTCACCACAACTGGCCCCCTTTCAGGTTCCCATGCTCCTAATGAAACCACAAATGAGCATGTGCATAGTGATGTTTAGGCTTTGAAAGGCCAACGACATCCAACAAAAACCACCTTTTTTTTTTACTTCTTGATTGGTGCACCGGTGTGTCATAATGTTTACTCAAGAAATTAAATTCATCTTGTTGCTATTTTTACCCTTATTTTGAGTTTGGTGTTCTTGCTAGTTAGTTGTAGACCAACTATTAACATTCCAGGATTTGGAAGACAGTACGATGTTGGGCAATCTCGTGATAAGGCTTTTGTAAACTTGTGAGCTGTCTGTTACTCTGCCTGCACAAGAGCATTACATTGATGTTACTATTTTCCCTCATTATGTGACATTCAACCTCTATATATAATTGGTTCAGTTTGACATTGACAGCCAAGTAAGCATTAATTCAAGTGATGTAGGTTCAAATTGATAGTGATGATATTTTCCATAATTTGATATAACCAACAAACATTTTTTTTTCTTTTTTATAGGTTTAGTTTTTAACTTTGAATGTCTCTGATGTTCAAATCATAAAGTGCAGGATATCATATTATTGAAATTGTTTGTTTAGCCTTGCAGGTCTTAAACTTTCTTAATTCATTTCATTTGCATTCAATGCACTTGGCATTAAACTACTACTATAAGATAAAAGGAAAGAAAAAAGGGTCAAAAGATGATCACTCCCAAAAAAAAAGGAAAAAAAGAAAGAAGAAAAGGTTAAAAGATAGCTCTAGTATTTTAATAGTGGATCGGTGTGTGGTTTGCCAACCCATCAACCCGGATTAACCCTTAACCCTCTTCTTTTTGAAGTTCAAAAGGTAATTGAATGTTCTTGTTTCTTTATGGTTCAAAAGCACAAAGGCACAGATCAAACCTCTGACATTTTGCCTCAAAGCCAGATGGTCTGATCAGCTCGGCTGTTCAATCCATGTGCTAAAATTGCATATATGTTTTACATTATATAGGATATATTTTTGATTGACGTTAAAATAAAAAGGGGCGTTGGGAGGGTTCGAATCTCCTAGACTTCAGCTGATAGCCACATGTTATAGCGAGCATGGCTATTTCGACATATTTTAGGTATATATATCATTCATTATATTGTTGTGAAATCACCGATTTGATCCAGTTTTGGCATGGCCTCGACCGATTCCCGATTTGGGTCGGTGATTTGGATTGACAATTTTCTAGATCCTAGATAGACCAACAAAAAGATATTCAGCGTGCATGGTCTGTCCATGGTTTCTGGTGTGCTGGTTTTCTATATGCCTCATTCCCAAATATTGATCCAACTAGTAAAATTGTACTAGCCTGTGGTAACCGGAAACTACTAATGGACATGGAGTGATTGGAAGTAAAATCCTCTAGTTGTTGCTTTCTTTGGGTTGTTTCCCAGCAAAAGGAAGCTGGGAAAATACTCAAGATAGTATTTTTTTGTTAATTGTTCACTGTGCAAATCAAAGATCAATTAGACTTATTGATCACCGGCCATATAGTTCAGAGTTAAAATTGGAGAAAGTAATCATATATTCAGAAACACTGTGATGTTTAAGTGATGGATATTTCTGTTCCTCATCGTTGGTTTTCTTTGTTTCATTTGATTCCCATACGTAGGTAAACAAAGGTACTGCAAGTGCTAGCGAGATTCTAGCTGGAGCATTGAAGGACAACAATCGTGCAGTATTATTTGGAGAACCAACATTTGGAAAAGGGTATTCTTCCTGCCTCATAGAGCTTTCTTTATAAAAGATGCAGTTTCTACTAGGCCTAGACCTCATGAAAAGAAAAAGAAAGTCTCACCGCAAATCATCGTCTGAAAAATACTTTGGGCATGGGAAATTTCTATGATCGCTTTAAAATCAATCTTCACAACTGATTATGAAATTGGAAATTGTTTACAAAATTTAAAATTTCATAATTCGGGTTGAACATGGATTTTCAAGCCATTGTATGTTTTTGGATACCAAAACTACGTCTTCCAACAAAATTTAGAGGTGCACCTTTCTTGTATAGTATAAGGTGGGCACCTTATACAAACGTCACCCTTATGAGATTTGCAACTCAAAAAATGGGACAAACCTGGCGAATCCGTCAACATTGAAAATGGACGGTCTATATAATGTGTTATAATATCAACTATTTTTTTGGGCTTGAAATCAAAAGTTTGTCACAACCATAATGAACAAGGTCAAGATGATCGATTTGAAAGTTTTCTAATGCTGGAAATATAATTTCCATGAGTTTTGAGATGAGGCTTTGCTTATTATGATAGGGCTACATCGCTATCAAAGCATTTTCCTTTTTTAAAATTTTATAGAACAATCTTGATAGTTACTCCACATTGTTTTGCTTTATAATCAGTAAGATACAATCAGTTTTTGAGCTATCAGATGGCTCTGGTTTGGCTGTTACTGTTGCTCGTTATGAGACTCCTGCACATACTGATATTGACAAGGTAATTTTTAGCCTTATGACGTTTTTAGTTTTTCTTTTTGTGGATTTTCATTTGATTTTCATGAAATATTTTTTATCTATTTTTTTTTTGAAGGTGGGGGTTATACCGGATCATCCCCTACCTGCATCATTTCCAATGAAGATGGATGAATTCTGTACGTGCCTCAAAGATCCTGCTTCATCTTGCAATCTCAGTACAGCCCAGCTATTTTCTCGATGACCGTCAAAATTGTGAAATACTATTCTTTTGATGTAGCGATATGACACTAGTGAAAAAAAGAGGGATAATTATCACACTAGCTCTGCTCCAGAAATTTGATTTTAAGGACTGTATGCACTGAAAGTTCATTGATTTGTTCATGTATGCAACACATTTATACACAGCTATTCAAAATTTTCCACCCTAATAGTGTTATTCCGTGCTTAAAAGAGTTGATGATGTCGTCCTGCAAATGGCAATTATTTAATGGGAAAGGTTTTTATACTTCCCCTACAACATAGAAGATCTATGCTTTTCTTACTATCCAGCCGTCCAATTTTGATCAAGAGAGCCACTCACTGTTTGATCTTAGATCCGATGTCTCAAAGTATTTTATTTTTTAGTTTTTTTTATACAAATTGTATGAATATAAAATTTGGTATATGCCATCTTCTCATTGGAGCGCACCTATAAAAATTATTAAAAATAGTTTTTTGGCAAAATATAATGACCAAAATACCTCATGAAATTTTTAAGGGTATTTTGGTCATTTTATTTTATTGGAAGAGAAATGATACTATGAGATATTCCCATACCCATGAGAGTAGGATCTCAAAAGATCACCATTAAATTTTGATATACATCTCTAAAAAAGTTATGACATGGATGTGGGATTTGGGTAAATGGGTTTTCTAGAGATCTTTGTCAAAATTTAATGGTGATCCTTTGGGGTCTTATTCACATGGGTGTGGGAAGGTTTCATAGTATCATTACTCTTATTGAAAATATTTTTTATATATTTTTTGCCAGTGCAAGTTTAATAGAGGATTGGACGTCCAAAATTTGGTGTCAATAGTTTATAGAAAATAAAATTAAAAACAAAACAATGTAGAGACGTGACATTGTGATCGAGACAATCTTTGTTTTCTATTCAGAAAGGACGATTGGATAAAGGGAAGTATATAAGTTTTATGTTGTAGGAGAAGCATAGAAAGCTTGCCTTTATTTCATATTCATGAAATAATCTTATGCCATTGAAAAAAGCCAATCAGGACGGTACAGCTAGGTGTAGTCAGGGAAGCAAGTAATCTGCATGATTTGATGAGGAGCTTAGCAATTTTAGGGGTGCCATGTCGCCATATCTCTTGTAACTTGTAAACCATCTTCCTTAGAGTTTCATGTTTCCTCTAGAATCTATGACTTTTATTAGCACAAATATGTATGTACTATTCTCTCCCTTAAAAGGTGTTTTGGAGTTTTAGTTTTTTTTTATTTTTTTGTCTTACTTACTAATTCATCCTTTTTTAGAAATATCTCCTTAAAATGTAAGCCAGTGTTTCAAAAAGCGCTAGAGGCCCTCAGGCGGCCATGGGGGTCCAGGCCGTCCAGCACCTAGGCAGCCGCTTAGGCAGGTGTCCAGAACCTGGGCGGCCCAATTGGAAACAAAAAAAAAAAAACTAAGACCATAATCCCAGTATTTTGATAATCCATAAGACTATAATCCATATTTTTCATACAATGCTATAGAAGCATACACTGATGGTCTGATACACTGTAGACTCTACACACAAAAGTTAGATTGCAGAACTAGAAATTAGAAAGTAGAAACTAAAAATAAGAAAAAGAAAATATATAGAAATTCAGAAAATATACAGGCACAATAGTCAACACCTAACACAACAGTCAGCACTCAACACCAAGAGTCTTCAGTCATCATCATCAGAAGGAATAAGGTCAACTTCATCATATGCATTGGAATCGAGGCCAACATCATCAGAGTCATCTCCCTCTTCAATATAGCACTCGTCTTTCTCTGTTTCTTTTGAATCTGCTTCTTTCTTCTCTTCTTCTGCCTCCATCTTATTAGTATGTGCGGACGAGACTTTAGGAGTCTTGGCTGCTCTACCATTTTCTATTTTTTTGCGTTCTTTGAACTCAAATATTGTATAATTTCCTCCCTAGTAGCCTCATGAACATTTTTACATGGGGCAACATCCCCTTCAGTACCGACAAAGTATTTTTTAAAACAGTAAATGTCCCCTTTAGTATCATTTCCACAATAATTACATTTAATACGATTTTTGTCATTCGGATTAGGGTTATAACCATACTTCCAACCTGGATCACCACTTCTAGAAAACCCTGGAGAAGATATTTCTATAGAATAAAGCTCATTTTCATCATTTTCTGCTTCTTTTAAATTCAGAATTTGTCTAATCTCATCCCGAATAGCTTCAGAAACCTTTTTACAAGAAGCAACATTCCCTTTAATACCAGCAAAGTGTTTCTTGAATCGGTCAATACCCCAATGGGTATCTTTTTCACAAAATTTATATCTTATACAATTTTTATCGTTTGGTTTTGGGTTATAACCATACTTCCAACCCGGATCACTTCTTCTAGAAGTAGCAGAAATAGATTGATTCAAATGACAAGGATTTTGTTTTACAAAACTCATATATTGTTTAATCTCATCTCTGATAACTTCAGTAACATTTTTATTAGGGGCAACATCCCCTTTAATACCGACAATATGCTTCTTAAACTGGTTTATTCCCCCTTTTGTATCTTTTTCATAAAATTGTATTTAATGTAATTTTTGTCATTTGGATTTGGGTTATATCCATATTTCCAACCCGGATATCCACTTCGATTATATCTTGAAGAAGGCATCAAAATAAAATAAGCAATCTAAAAAATTAATTTTTGCATTAACTTTGAATGCTCGAACTCCAAATTCCCACCTCTGAGATGTTTTATGGTGCTAAAATAATAAAAAACACCATATATTAGGATTATAAATCTCCAAAACTAAATCAAATCTACTTAGGTGATGTTTGGATATGTTTTTTGTAACTTTGAGAAGCACTTCGATCCAATGAAAGTCACAAAATTTAGTTTTCTTAAGGTCTATTTCTATCTAAAATGAGTTCTTTTGAGTTTAGCTTTGAGATGAACCGAAAACCATCATTCAAACCTTTTATATTTTAAAAAAAATCAATACAACTTAAAAAATAAAAAATTCCTCCCCTAGGCGGCCACCGAGGGTCTGCCGCCTAGTTTGGCCGCCTAGGCCCGTGCAATGCGCTCAGACCTTCCGGATCGCCTAGGCTCTTGGCGGTCCACTTTTTGAATCACTTATGTAAGCCACTAAGATTCCCCTTGCACTACTCAATGAGAATAAAGAAGCTAAGGCCAACCTGTAGAGCTAAGGGCAAACTTCTATTTGCCTTGTTATTTGCTTGGTTACTGTTCTAGCTTTGCCCTACTGTTCTTATTACCGTACAGACTCAGTTATTGCCCCATCCATGACTCTCTCTATCTCTCCTCAAACACACACAAGGTACATTTCTTTATCATACATTAATAGTAATCAATCAATGGAGCAAAGAGTGCACGAGTAGCACAAAAATGGTGCAAATTGGTTTTGTGAGATTTAGTGTCGCGGTCCCACACAGAAATGGCAGTCTTATTCTTGTGTTTTGAACTCCAGATTAAAGAGTTATGCTTATGGGAGAATTTGGCTTAAGAGTCAAGGGGAAGTTATCATGATCCTATTAGAGAAAAGAGGATTGAAAGAGAGACCAGCTGCTGCGGAATTCCCCGTGAAAAGGAGGAGAGGTGTTTCTTTGGGTTAGACAGTGTTATTAGGACTGGACTCGCGACCGAACCGGTTAGTTCGGTTGAACTGATAGAACTGGGCTGGACCGGTCTCAAATTTATAAAGAAGACCCGGAACAAAACGTTCATACCCTCTCTGATTTTTTTTGTGTTCAAACCAATGGTTTAAAAAACGGATCGGTGACCCGGATCGGGCTTTCAAAAAACCGATTCGGATCGGCGAATCGGCGATTCGGATCGAGAATCGGGTGAATCGGTCAGAATAAAGCTTAAAAAAAATCCGAAAAAGTATTAAAATTAATTATAAATATTGTTTTTTAGGAATTCAATAAGAAATGAGGGTACTCCATTAAGAATTTTCATGTTTTTTAATGAATATA